TTCCAACTTCATCTTCCCTTCTGCTACCTGCTCTCGAAGATAATGGAACCTCATTTCGATGTGCTTGCTTCGACCATGAGCTATTGGATTCTTCGCCAAATTGATAGCTGACATGCTGTCTATCTTCATGGTAATTGCTCCATCATTCTTCCCTATGATTTCTTTGACCAAATTCACCATACAAGTTGCTTGACATGCACAAAGAGAAACAACTATATATTCTGCTTCGTATGATGACAATGCCACTACTGGTTCCTTTCTCGAATTTCAAGCAACTGGTGCACCACCTAACATAAACACATATCCAACTGTGGATTTTCGATCCTCAGCATCACTACACCAATTGGAGTCTGTGTATCCCACTAACTTGCATTCTTTTCCTTCAGCTGCTGGAAATAAAACGCCATAGTCGAGAGTTCCTTTTAGATACCTCAGTATCCTCTTCGCTGCTGCTAGATGTGATCCCTTTGGCTTCTGCATGAATCTACTTACCATACCAACACTGTATGCTAAGTCAGGCCTTGCGTGACAAAGATATCTAAGTGACCCAATAAGTCTTATGTATTGGGTTGGGTCGACATCATCTTCATCTGAACCCTTCGACAGTTGCAATCTGGGCTCAGCTATAGTAGAAGTTTGGTTGCAATCTTGCATCTCAAATCTCTTGAGTATTTCGCCTGCATATCTTCTTTGATTCATCATCAAACCTCTACTTGTCTTGTAGAATTCGATGCCAAGGAAATATGGTCGATTTCCCAAGTCTGACATTTCAAACTCCTCACTCAGGTCATGTTTGAAATCTTCGATCTCCTTCTTGCAACTCCCTGTTATCAACAAATCATCAACATAGAGACATAGTATAAGCAATTCGCCATTGCTTCTTCTTACATATACTCCATGCTCAGTTGTACACTATATAAATTCCTTCTCCCTTAAGAAGCTGTCGATTTTCTTATTCCAAGCTCTTGGAGCTTGCTTAAGTCCATACAGGGCTTTATGAAGCCTGTACACCTTTCTTTCTTCGCCTTGTTTCACAAACCCAGCTGGTTGTGCAACATAAACTTCTTCGTCTAAGGGGCCATTAAGGAATGCACACTTTACGTTCATCTGACATGTATGCCAGTTGTTCATATTTTCTAGACCAACAACCAACCTGATTGTTTCGATTCTAGCAACAAGTGCGAATACTTCATCGAAGTCAATTCCTTCCTTTTGAAGAAATCCTTTCGCCATAAGTCTTGCCTTGTGTCGAGTTACTTCTCCTTTAGGATTTACCTTCACCTTGTAGGCCCACTTCACATTAATTGCCTTCTTGCCTTGCGACAATTCGACAAGTGACCAGGTATCATTGACTTCGATGGACTCCAACTCTTCAGTCATTGCTTTCATCCACTTCGAATCTTTCAATGCCTCAGCTGCATTGACTGGTTCGACATCTGCGTAGAAAGCATAATGTACCAGCTCACCCTCTTCATCGACTACATCATCTAATGTAATTACACATTCTTGCAACCTTGCTGGCATGTTTCTTGTTCGTCGAGGTCTGCTTGAACCTGCTTCATCTGCAACTGGTTCCTGTCGAACTTCTATTTCGACCTCAGTGGCTGGTTCTTCACAAGAGATTCTCACTGAATCCTTCTTGGCATTATCATTCCAATCCCATTCTTTAAGCTCATCTATGATCACGTCCCTGCTGATCACTACCTGCTTATTCACTGGGTCGAACAACTTGTAACCTCCTGTTGAATGATATCCTATCAAGATCATCTGATTCGACTTATCATCAAGCTTCCTTCTCAACTGATCTGGCACATGTCTATGTGCTATAGATCCAAATACCTTCAAGTGACTGAGACTAGGCTTGACACCAGACCAACATTCTTCTGGTGTGATTCCTTCAAGCTTATTCGTCGGACATCTGTTCAATATATATGTTACTGTCGAAACTGCTTCTCCCCATAATTCTTTAGGTAGATGCTTTCCATTCAACATACTTCTCACCATATTCATGATGGTTCTGTTATTGCGTTCTGCAATTCAATTTTGCTGTGGAGTGTAAGGTGGCACCACCTCATGCACAATCCCTTCTTTTACACATAGTGTATCGAACTCTTTTGATACATACTCTCCACCACCATCAGTCCTCAGAATTTTCAGCTTTCGACCACTTTGTCTTTCGACCATGGACTTGAATCTGGAAAATACCTCAATCACATCACTTTTCTTCTTGATGATGTAAGTCCACAACTTTCTACTGTAATCATCTATAAACGTGACAAAGTATCTATTGCCACCAATCGAATCTACCTGGATTGGACCACATACATCAGAGTATATGACTTCAATTATTGCCTTCGACTTCCTTCCTGCATCCTTGCTGAAGCTATTCTTGTGTTGTTTCGGCTGAACACACTCCTCACAGACTTCCCTTGGAATGTCGATTTCTGGTAATCCTGAAACCATATTTCTTCTCTTCAGTTCTCTGATGTCATTAAAGTTGAGATGACCTAGTCGAAAATGCCATAACCACTCATCTCTGCTGGCTGCAGTTGCTAGACACTTGTGCTCCATCACATTGAGTCCAATCTTGAAGGTCCTATTCTGAGACATTAGAGCCTTCAAGATTAATCTACCACCTGCGTTGAGAACTCTCATCATCTTGTCTTCGACAACTACGTTGTAGTTCTTTTCGACAAGCTGCCCTATACTGAGCAAATTACTCTTCATGCCTGGTATGTACAACACATTGTAAATTGTTGACCTTTTGCCATCTTCCCTCATAATCAGAACATCACCAACACCTTCCGCTGCTAGAGTGTTGTCATTTGCAAACTTGACTGTGTTCTTCGACGAGGGCTTCATGTTGACAAACCAATCTTTCCTTCTAGTCATGTGTGATGAGCATCCTGAGTCCAAGTACCACTGATCTTGGAATCTTTCTTCATCTTTTGTTGTGACCATTAGCAACATTTCTTCTTCTTCATGTTTCGCCAGCTTTGCATCGGTCTCTTGATTTCTCTTCCTTTCTGGACAATCACTAACATAATGACCATACTTCTGGCAATTGAAACATTGAATGTGGCTTTTGTCTGTCTTTCGACCACCACCTCTTCCTTTACCTGCAGCACCACCTCTTTGGTTGCCTTGGTTCCAAGGTTTCTTCTGATTCGACTGGTTTCCTCCTTTGTTGCCATTCCAGCTACCTTTGCCTTTTCTTTCCTTTTTTTACTGCACCTGTAAAGCCATATCTTTCGAATTTCCTGCAGCTCTCTCAGCCATCATCTATTCATGAGACTTAAGAGTCCCTTGAAGCTCTTCCTTCGTCAACACTGATAGATTTTTCGACTCTTCTATGGCAACTACCACGTGGTCGAATTTTGGAGCCAACGATCTCAAGATTTTTGAGACAATTGCTTTCGTTGTTAGCACTTCTCCACATACCTTGATTTGATTCACCAACTTTGTAACTTTGGTGAAGAAATCTGTAATGCTTTCGTTGTCTTCCATCTGAAGCAACTCATAGGTTCTCTTGTGAGTTTGTAACCTCACCTCTTTCACCTTCTCTGCGCCTCCAAACGACTTTTCAAGAATCTCCATGCTTCTTTTGCTGAATCAACATCACTAACCTTTTCAAAGTTATCAGGATCAACACACTAATGAATTATAAAGAGTGCTTTATAATCCTTCTTCTTCAATTCTTTGTGCGCAGCCTTTTCTGCCTCCGTTGCGTTCTCCCCAAGCCATGTTACTCCGTCCTTCACAAGATCCCAAAGATCTTGTTAACAGAAAATCACCTTAATCTGCTTGCACCAATTCTTATAATTGTCTTTCTTGAGAATTGGCAGGGTTGCCGGAAAGTTGCCGTTCAGATAGTTCATCGCCATCACTATCTTCCTTCCTTGAATCTCTCAACCGGAGCTCTAGATACTAGATGTTGGAAATTCACCTCACACCCTATGAAGAATTCCCTTCAATATTGATCTCAAGATTGATGAACAAACCCACAATATGATAGTAATGGTAATAACAAGTGATTATCAAGCACAATAAAAGAGAAGAATGAGAGAAGAAATATTTGGAGAGAATGAGTTACCCACAACTGTGGGATTTCTTATTGCTTATAGAACTTTCACTTGCTCAAACTGCAACTGTGAAATCTGGTCTATGTTGTTATTGAATACAAAGCAAGACACCCTATTTATGGTTTTAGGTTTACAAAAGCCCAAAACATAAAAGGCCCAAAATATTCAAATCAAATCTAATCATATCAAATCAAATCAAAACAATGAATTAAATTTAACAGGAGTCAAGATGATAGGGAGAAAATGTTATTTTGGGGAAGAGAAAAATATAGTGAGGTCTTTTTCATGTAGTGCTATGTAATATGTGTCACTAGGTTTTTTCAAAAATGAAAAACAAAATCAAATCACTTTTAAAATTTAATAACTAAGGATTTTCAAAATAGGATAAAAAAACAAATTTTAAATAATATAAAAAATAAAAATAAATAAATCAATAAAAATAAAATTAACTATTTAAAAAAACTTAAATAAATAATAATAAAAAATATGATAAAATAAAAATGATTAATTAATTAAAAAAAACCGATTAAAAATGAATAAACAGTCTGGTATCGAAGTCCTCGAAAAAATAAACTGAATGCATCAAGATGATCTATGCGAAATAAACGAGCACGTCAGATTAAACTATGTGAAACGTAGATTAATATAAATGATGACTGCAAGTTCAATTTTAAAATTTTTTGTCCACTGATTTTACGTACAACTGATTTTTAATTTGACCGACTCGCCTATAAATTCAACAATTTATTCTGACCGATAATTTGGACATTATACATAATGAAAAATATAATATGCTATGCAGATTATACAGATGTTATGATAATGTGTCGATTCAAAAATTTAGGGTCAAAATTAGAATATGAGAGTTGTTATATCAACTCTGCTACTTGTACTTTTGTTTCTAGGCATGTCTCATGAATGATATTGGAGCTTTGTGATAAAATGCCTAACCCAATGGGACAATCATCTGTTGATTGTGCAAAGATCCCTTCCATGTCTAATGTTTCCTTCATCATTGGAGGAAAAATGTTTGACCTTGCCCTACAAGTGGTATAGAATCAAATTTAATTATTTGCTTTTGCAAGGGTTAATTTTCCATTAGATTTGTTGTTTTACGAATTAAGTTAAATTTTAATGCCCGAAATGGTTGCCCCGTTCCATGTTTCCTGTTTCCCTTATCCAATTTTCTATTTGTTTTCTTCAGTACATACTGAAGGTAGGTGAAGGCCCTCAAGCCCAATGCATTAATGGATTTACTGTTTTGGATGTTTCTCTTCCACGTGGCCTACTCTGGTACATCAAACTTTGATATGCTATGACATTTACCTTTTGGTTTTGATGCATTTGATTTGATAATAATCACTTAACCGAATCTGCATAAATGCAGGATCCTTGGAGATATCTTCATGGGGCGCTATCATACAATCTTTGATTATGGTAAACTCAGAGTTGAATTTGTCAAAGCAGCATAGAGAATCTGCTCATGCCTTGCAGAATAACATCCTTTACTTTCACCAGTTCGCAAGCCTCAGCCTCGTGATTTTGATCTCAATTTGCCTGCTTCAATGAACTATAATGATGAAGAGATCCGTGTCACAACCCTTCATCTCTGACGTGCCTATGTCCGTCTGTCCGCCGCTAATTCTGCTACCGTGACTTATGTCAATTGATGTTTAAGAGAGTTTAATTGTAGGAAATTTAGTGTATTACTCCTTATTATCAAAGAGAAAGAGCGAAAAGATATAAAAGGCTTAATGCTTTTGCAAAATATATCAATCAATTATGGTGTATCATGTGTATTATTGAGCACCTCTATTGGTTCAAAATGCAATATATACTCTACAGGTGAGCATGTCTCAAGAGATTTTTCTGCACTCTAGATAGACTCTGGCTGCTATTAGTAATAATTCATATTTTATTATATTACTTACTTAAGCCCATAAGTTTGTTAGAGGGTATTTTAGATTTTATCTTATTCTAGTAACCCTAGTTTTAGCTTATAAATAGGGTGACAATCATTGTAACCAAATATCATGTTTTGTAGCCGTCATTCTCTTTAATAGAATATTTCCCTATTTCATCATTTATTCTATCTTTGCACCAACAAATTGGTATCAGAGCTCCGGTTCAGATTCATTGGGAAACACGGGAAACACGAGTGAACGTGAGGTCTTGTGTGTTTGATTTTGTTTCTCAGATTCTTGTTGAATCTTGAACAAAATCTGATCAGAATTTTTTAATTCTGTGGGTTGGGAAACACTGTGTGAGAAAACTCTGAGTGTATTGTGCAAAGTAGAAGATGAACGGAAACGGCAACATGAACACCAAACTTCCAGTATTTGACGGTAAAAATTGGAATCGTTGGATGATCCAAATGCGTGTACTGTTTGGTGCTCAAGATGTTCTGGATCTTGTCACTGATGGTTATGTTCCGGTAGCAGCAGATGCGACTGATGAACAGAAAAACACGCAGAAGGAAGTAAGGAAGAAGGATCAGAAAGCATTGTTCTTCATTCATCAATGTGTGGATGTAAACGTGTTTGAGAAGATTGCAGACTCTACAACAGCAAAGGCTGCATGGGACACTCTGGTGAGATGTTATGGTGGTGATGCATCAGTGAAGAAGGTGAAACTTCAGTCCTTGAGAAAGCAATATGAGAATCTCAACATGAAGAATAATGAGAAAGTTTCTGAATACATCTCCAGAGTGATTCTGATCACTAATGAGATGAAGGCATGTGGAGAAACTCTTTCTGAAGAAACAATCATGGAGAAAGTGTTGAGATCCCTTACTCCTCAATTTGATTACATTGTGGTAGCAATAGAACATTCCAAAGATTTGAGCACAATGAGAATTGAAGAGCTGCAGAGCAGTCTAGAAGCGCAAGAGTTGCGTCTGACTGAGAGAAACTCTGAAAAGGAAGTAGAACAACAGGCTCTGAAAGCAACTTCTGATAGGAGGTATCAGAAGCAGTCAGAAGCCAGGAGAAGATCTGATGGTGGTCAGAAGTCAGAAAGCTCAACCTCTGATAGACAAAAGAATGCTCAGAGGGGAAAAGAGAAGTATGACAAAAGAAAAATACAATGTTACTGTTGTAAGAAGTTTGGCCATTTTGCTAGAGATTGTTGGTCAAACAAGGAGAAGAAATCAGAAGAAGCAAATATAGCCAGAGGCTCTGATGACGAATCTGTGCTGTTGATGGCCTCTGAATCTGATAATGTGGATCTGACATACTGGTGGTATATGGACACTAGCTGTTCAAATCATCTTACTGGAAACAAGAAATGGCTGGTTGACTTTGACTCTGAAAAGAGAACAAAGATCAGATGTGCTGATGACAAATATCTTAATGCAGAAGGTATGGGAAATGTCAGAGTGACTCTGAACAATGGGAAAATAGCATTGATTCAGAATGTGTGGTATGTACCTGGCATCAGAAGCAATCTGATGAGTGTGGGACAATTAATTGAGAAAGGTTTCTCAGTTACCATGAAGGACAATCTTCTGAAGCTGTACGACTGTAATCAGAAGTTGATTATAGAGTCAGAACAGGGAAGGAATAGAACATTCAAGGTGAATGTCAGAACTGCAGACTCGGAGTGTCTTAGTGCAACAAGTACTGAGAAGGAGAGTGAGCTGTGGCACAGAAGATTTGGTCATTTGAATTTTAGAAGCTTACAACATCTGAATTCAAAGAAATTGGTACATGGAATTCCTGCAATTAAGAAGCCTGAAAAGTCATGCAAAGTTTGCATGGAAGGAAAACAACCAAGATTGCCATTTGCATCAGAAGTTGCTCCAAGAGCAAAACATGCCTTGGGAGTTGTACACTCTGATGTGTGTGGTCCATTTCCAGTAGCATCAATTGGAGGGAATAAATACTTTGTGCTGTTTGTTGATGAATTCACAAGAATGACATGGGTATCCCTTATTAAGTTCAAACACGAGGTGTTTGATGAATTCAAGAAGTTCAGAATGAAGGCTGAGAATCAGAGTGGTCAGAAGTTGAAGATTCTTAGAACTGATGGTGGAGGTGAGTATAACTTCAAAGAGTTCCAGAAGTTCTGTGAGGAGAACGAAATTGAGCATGAGGTTACTGCTCCCTATACCCCTCAACACAATGGTCTTGCTGAAAGAAGAAACCGCACTCTGCTTGATATGGTGAGAAGCATGCTAAAGGAGAAGAAGCTTCCTCAGAAGCTCTGGGGAGAAGCTGTTGCCACTGCAACGTATGTACTCAACAGATGTCCTACGAAGAAGTTGAAGGAAATAGTTCCAATACAGAAGTGGACTGGAGATAAGCAAAGTGTTAGTCATCTAAAGGTGTTTGGTTCTGTTTGCTATAAACATGTTCCAGAAGCCAGAAGACAGAAGCTGGATGATAGAAGCAAAGTGATGATTCTGATAGGGTACCACAGTACTGGTGCTTACAAGCTCTATTGTCCAGAAACCAATAAAATTGAATTCAGCAGAGATGTGATTGTGAAGGAATCAGAAGTTTGGAATTGGGATAAGTCTCAATCTGATTCTGATGTTAGAACCTCTGAAGAAAGGCCAGAGTTAAGAATTTCTGAAGTTGAAGTAAACCCTGATATTGACTCTGACTCTGATACTGATTCAAACTCTGAAGAAGACTCAGAAGATGAAGGTGACCCAAATGACCCAGACTCTGATGATTCAGACTCTGATGGCAATCCATATCTTGGTGGCAATTCAGACTCTGGAAATATGCCAGACTCTGAAGATGGTCAAAGCTCTGGAGGTCAATCATCTAAAGCTAGAAACTCTGAAGCTCAAGACTCTGAACAAGTTCAGAGACCACAAAGAATAAGAAACGTTCCCAGAAGATATGCAGAATTTGACATGCTGCAAGACACTGAAGTAGACTCTGAAGGAGAAATTATTCAGTGTGCCATGATGGTAGATTCTGAACCCATAAGTACAGAAGAGGCTCTTAAGCAGAATCTTTGGCTAAAGGCCATGAAAGAAGAACTTGATGCTATAGAGAGAAACAAGACTTGGAAGCTGACAGAACTTCCAAAAGACAAGAAAGCCATCAGCGTCAGATGGGTTTTCAAGCAGAAGTTAAAGCCATATGGTTCAATTGGCAAACATAAATCAAGGTTGGTAGCCAGAGGATTTCTACAGAAACCTGGGCTGGATTATTCTGAAGTGTTTGCACCCGTAGCAAGACATGAAACAATCAGAATGGTGATTGCAATAGCTGCTAACAGGAATTGGCCTCTGATGCATTTAGATGTAAAATCTGCATTTCTGAATGGTCCATTAGAAGAAGAAGTTTATGTGTCACAACCCCCTGGATTTGTGAAAAAGAATCAGGAAGGGATGGTGTACAAATTATACAAAGCTCTATATGGACTGAAACAAGCGCCCAGAGCTTGGAATCAGAGGATTGATTCATTTTTCAAGAAGCAAGGCTTTCAGAAATGTGAGATGGAGTACGGTGTCTATGTTCAGCATACTTCTGAAGGCAATATGACTCTGGTATGTTTATATGTTGATGATATACTATTGACTGGAAGTTCTGAACAGGAGATAGCCAAGTTCAAGAAAGTTCTGATGAATGAATTTGAAATGACTGATCTAGGCAAAATGACATACTTTCTAGGGATGGAGTTCAGATATTCTGAGAAAGGTATCATTTTGCATCAACTCAAGTATGAATTAGAACTTCTGAAGAGGTTTGAACTGAAGAATTGTAAGACTGCTGTCACACCTTCAGATACAAATCAGAAACTGGATTCTGACTCTGATGGAGAAGATGTGGATGCTACAACCTTCAAACAGTTGGTTGGTTCTCTGAGGTATCTGTGCAATACCAGACCTGATATTTGCTATTCTGTTGGGATGGTTAGTAGGTTCATGAGTAAACCTAAGTGGTCCCATTATCAAGATGCTTTCAGGATTCTGAGGTATATCAAGGGAACTCTGAAGTATGGAGTGTTATTTCCCTCTGGAAGAAAGGATGAATCAGAACTTCTGAGTTATTCAGACTCTGATTGGTGTGGAGACAGAGTTGACAGAAAAAGTACCTCTGGGTACTTGTTCAAATTTCTGGGAGGTCCTATTTCTTGGTGTTCCAAGAAGCAACCTGTTGTGGCGTTATCAACCTGTGAAGCTGAATACATTGCAGGTGCTGTTACTGCATGCCAAGTTGTGTGGATTCTGAATGTGTTGCAGGATCTGAAGATTAAAGTAAGCAAACCTCTGAAGTTGATGATTGACAACAAGTCTGCAATCAACCTTGCCAGAAACCCAGTGCTGCATGGGAGAAGCAAGCATATTGAGACCAAGTATCATTTTCTGAGACATCAAGTTCAGAGTGGAGTGTTAGAAGTTGTACACTGCAGCACTCAAAAGCAGTTGGCAGATGTTCTGACGAAAGCTATCAAGACTGATCAATTTCTCAGATTAAGGGATGGAATTGGTGTTACAAGTTTTGATGGAATA